AGGCGTGAATCATGAACAGAAGCGATAACATATATTGATAAAAGTTTGCATTCCGCGTTTGATGGCCAATTCTTTAACTCATTTTATTGACAGGTCTAGCTAATCGGGAATAAAAATGTTTTCTTAAACGGCCTTCGAGATGATGTTTATACTCCTTATCCGAAGTCAAATCTAGCTATGTGTGATGCTTCTAAGAATTTCACGGATGGTTGACAACCTTGCAGACACCGAGATGCATCTATGAATGACCAATGCACCGCACCTACCACGAGGTCGTCTTTGACTATGGATGAAGAAACATCGGTCATGCACGAATTCAGTCAAGCATACGGCGACGATCTTTCAAAAATTGACACAGCCCGCTGAAAGCTTCGTTACAATTCCCCGATATCGTTACGTTTCACAGCGCTTGCAAGTTACAGAAAAACGCGTGCATATATCAGGTGTTACGTCTAATATACTTTACGCACCTAACTCATGTTGCTGACGTCCGGCAAAGTAGGTGGCGCTGGCTGTGCGAATTAGTCAGAGTCGTATATTCTGAGAATTTGGCCAGGTTATGATCTCGCCGCCGAAACGCCCCCCTCCCGAGCGACCAAGTCAGCCCGCGCTTAAAAAGCTATCGAATGCAGTTTTCTCGACGTTTGACCGCAAGCGTTTATTCAGGCGAAAAAAAGAGAAGTCGTCCAGTAGCAGGCGACGCGTAGCCTCCACACTGCCCAACGCGATGCGTCAAAATGACGGTCGTTCCATCTTTGCTCCCTCCTTCCTCTCTCGCCCCTTTGGCGCTCTCCCCGTCTCCCCCCTTTCCTCCACTTTTCTCTTCTCCACCGCCTTCGTCGCCCCACCTACGGCCAGACTCTCTCAATATACGGCTCTGGACGGAGCCTGCGGCAAGGCTTCACTTTATCGTAAATGGTTTTCTGCGCAAAGCGGGCAACATCTCCATGGTCAAATGTGGTTATCGTCGCTGTAAAGATAAAGCATGTTCTTATGTATTCATTATATTTTTTATTGAAATACCTTAACAAGCTCCACCTGGGCATTACATAGAGGGGAGATACATGAAACGCTGGCACAATCACGCAATGTTGTAAAAAAAAATATGAAAAGGGACACATAATCAGACTAAACAGAACTCAATGAAGAATATCGCGGCGCAGGGTCACACATGCACACACACACACAAACACACACACACACACACACAGGCATCTTGGTCACGCACACAAGAGAAAAAAAAAGTACAGGTGTTGCTTAAGTGCAAAATAATAAGCACAAAGCTATTGTCACGCAATGATTCACGCAATAATGCTACAAAGGCGTTATGGTTTCTGGTGAGAGCAATTTCACTTAAGAGCCCATTCCAGTCGGCCGTAGCCTTTAGTAACGGGGATTTGACACAAGTTAGTTCTGGCGAAGGGAATATGAACTTTGTTAGGGTTATCCGTTCCCCCCAAAAATCATCCATAATTCGAATTATTCACAATAGCGAGACAAAAATGCACGTCTTTCCTCAGTTTGTCCCCCAAAAATGGTGGCCATGCAGCGGGGTACCCATATTACGGGGTTCGTATTAACTAGGCATGACTCTAATAAATCAAATAGTTGGGTTTTGTATGAAAGACAACTTTGAAAAGCGTGCTGGTTAGGAAAAAGGATATTGTTAGAAAGAAGGAGCCTCATTACTGATGAGCAGTGTATCTGTTGTAAACGTTTAGATGAAACAGATGTAAGTGATATGGGTCTATAATTTGATGCGCAGGTACGGTTACCAGATTTATTAATTGGGACTACATTTGCTAATTTTCATTCAGCCGGCACACGGCTAATGTTAAGTGACTGTTGGATTGGGCTATAACAAGCAAAACGCATTACACACCCTTTTATTTTTTATTTTTTGTTTGGTTACCTATACTGTGGCCTTGCTAGGGCAATATTGTAGGGGTGACGACAGTACAAAATGTACACAAATGCGAAGTAAATATCGAAAAAGAGAGGGCTATGTGATGCGGGAGGATTCACAACGACAGCAACAACAAAATATATAGACGAAAACACCCTTAGTTAGTTTAAGCAATTTCAAGCATATTCAATCTGACAGTGTTTCATTTGCTGGTAGACACCCGAGAGCAATGACGACGCCACTGATACTTTTGAAAAGATCATTCATTTCAAATTTTGTTTCTGCGTCATGAAGTTTAAATAAAAGTAGTTCATTAGTGAACAATTCACAAAAAAATGTGTTATATTTTTAGGTTTATTTGAGACCGCACTGACAACTTCTGAAGAGAAGGTAGTGTCTTGGTTGTCCCGCTTTTGGCAGGTACTATAGTCGTCTTCGGTTGTACTTCACGTGACCTAGAGACCCGTTTCTCACGGCAAGGGGGCGCTGCAGCGTCAACGAGACGCGACTGCAACAGAGGCACCTCTACTAACATCCGCGAAATGCGACCATTTAATGCTGACGTGAAGCGGCGTTCTAGGCTCCCATCATGCACAATTCATGGGGGTAAACTACACATTCTGTCAGCGCCCCTCTGCGTTTATATATGGGCACTAACAGGGCGTTTGAAACAACGCGCACCGCGATGCACAAGGGAAGCAAGACCTAAAATATAGAATTTAAGTCGCCAATCGCGCTTCTCAAAACTTGAGAACTACTGATCAACACCTTAACCGTGGCACTCACGAGTAAATCATTGTTGAAGGATCGCCCTAGCCGTCGGAAAAAAAAGGAGTATTGTATATTTTGATTGTCTTTTTATATTGATCAGTGCACGTCTGCAAAACGACGCTGGGTCAACCAGATTATACTATACTACTTAGTTGGTTTACACGTACAAGCTGTCGAAGCCACGTTTTAATAATATGCAACAAGGTATATATGGAGTGTCTTTTCAGTCTTGCTACAAGAACGGGAAAAATAACCGCTTTAAACAAGGCGCCATTTTCTGTTATAGCATCGAGTCCGAACGATGGTCTGATCTAAACGATGAAAGTTTGCACGTTAGACTACTGCTTTGCTTACCTTACAGTAAAACAAGTTGTAAAAATATTCCTATCGTGGCAGTGTACTAAGGTAGAAAAAATGTTACGAACACGGCCAGCTCGATGACATCGCGACATTCAGTGCACAGTAGTCCCTCACAAGAGGACTTTTACTGCTGCCTTTGCAGTATTTTCCAGACTGAGCGATTGTACGCTAGTCCATCGGCGCACTAACCGGTACTTTCTTTTATTTTCTTATTAGGATTCCACAAAGAGGCGCGCTGTCACAACAAGGAAGTAACAGCCCCACACACAAACAGACGACAATGGCGCCACTGTTCCTTTCCAGACGCGAAGCTTCGTGGCCTCTTCTTGAAAGGAAGTATATTCGCTACTCAAACGCCCTATATATGGCGGGGCAGTAGTGCTACAGTGCCCTAGAAGTTGTGGGCTCACCGCCATATCTCCCCCGTGCACTGAAGCGGCCGATGTCAAAAACGCCGGAGGCGCCGCAGCAGACTCCTCCTGAAGCTTCTCCCGCCCGCTGCCCGCGATGAGTAAGAGCCGCCTAGCCGACCTGGTCTGGCCAATGCGCGCTGGAGAGTTTCAGGAGGAAACGCTTACAGCGCCACCGCCGTGTCGATATCAAATGCATCAGGCCGAGCCGTGCCGTGAGCCGTCTGCAACTTTCTAGGCCACTGTTGTAGTGCCAAGATGGCGGAATAGACTGAAACAAATTATCAAGGTTTATTTCTGCGCCTGCCTGCTCACGCTGGTCAGAGCGATGAAATTAATTTATTTTCGCTACTATAATGCCAAGCGATCAGGGCACGAGCATATCGCTGATATATCGCTGATGACGAAGATGTTGACTCGCGTTAAGAAAATGAGCATGTTGATCTTTAAAAGTTGCTGAGCGCAACATAACCATTCCTATATCACCGCACTAATTTTTCTTTTCTTTTTTTGTGAAAACTGCATAATGCACAAACACGCAAACTAGAAGTATGCGGTATATACTTCGTTTCGCCTTACATCCAGACGCAGCCGACGCTACGAACTGACGGGACCAATCAGACAGCGTCAAAAGTACAGCATCGTGGTCCTCGTCATGCGTTTGTACGTGTTCTATCATCGCTGAACCAATCATAAACAGAAACGGCCCAGTGACTTGCCTTATTTACGCGGCTTGATTGGCTCCTTTGGTTCGTAGCGTCAGCTGCCTCCGGACTCAGCGGGACAAGGGATGGAAGGATGAATGAATGAATACTTATTGTGAAAGAATACAATAGGAAGGGGGGGGGGGGGGGGGGGTTAGCCTTGCTACTATACTCGGTGTCAGCTAAAGTCCAGACGCAGCCGATGCTACGAGCTAATGGGACCGATCTAACAGCGTCAAATGCGCGAGTCACTGGGCCTTTTTTGTTTATGATTGGTTCAGCGATGATAGAACGCATGCAGAAACGTGACGAACAATGCGGTGGTGTGCTTTTGACGCTTACTGTTTGGTCCCATCAGCTCGTTGCGTCGGCTGCGTCTGGACTTTACGGAAAACGAAGCACGAGCTTCAAGTCAAGGAATTTGGCTAAATGTTAATATCGGCTATTGTACCTACGCAGGTGCTGGTAAAATAGTCGGGTTATCTACACTTCGTAGCAGATGTAGTGCACTCTATCAAATCCCTTCGCTCATCACAGAAAAGCCAGAAGTTCTCATGACGCTAGCCGTCTCTGCACAAAACAACCAATAGGATAATTGGTCTGTGAAATGCCTCCTATACATTCACATAGCATCGTCACATTCGGACGGCGGCAACTGACCGATTTGGCCGGAGCCAGACGGCGTGCGTTCTACAACGGATTGAACGGATAGGAGGCCTAGCCGAGCGCTGATGCACAACTCGCCTCCAATCTGTGTCTGCACTCGATCGAATTAAGATGCCGTCGAAATGCTTGTGAACGGGCTGTGGTTATTCTATAGGTAGTGTTGTTCCGAAACGGCGGACTCACTTGAGCTTTCCGTTGACCTTGTAGTGGTACTTGTAGAAGCCCCTGTCCTGGCCCAGCTTTCCGTGGAAGTGCATGGTGACCAGGTACGTCTGGTTGGCGTTCAGCTTGCCCAGGAGCTTGATGACGAGGAACTCATCGTAGGCATGCAGCGTGAGCGACTTGGCCCACATCTTGAAGAAGGTGTTGGAGGCGTGGCGCACAATGACGCCAGGGGTGACGCGGCTCCCCAGCGACACCTTCAGCTCCGGTGTCGAGTGCACGGTGATCGTGGACGTTGCTGTATTACGTGAGGCCGCCACTGTTGCGCTTCTTCTCAAGGGTTCTCCATAGTGTTTGTGGCAGAAACGAGCAGGAATGTATGGCTTCAGGATACGATTTTTTCTGCGTGACTTTTTGCTCAAACAAAGGAAGAGCTAAGCTTGTGCACCTGTGGGCTGAAGCTATCAACACTATTGCACGCGACTTGCATGACCTCTCGACTAGGACGCCATGCGTGCGAACACGTGCGGCAGGCACGTGAAGGTAACTTGGCTAAGCTTACAATGATCGCATGTCCTTGTCTACATGACCAGAGACATGACAACGACCTGAATACCTTGTTTACATGTGTGCGAGCATATGCAGAGTGCGCGTGAGGGTGTTTTTTCATAGGCATGCTATCGTACCTACTTACACGATCTCTGGAGAAGGTGACTAGTAAAATTTTGAAAAAGGGTTCATCCTGTGGCTCCTTCCTCATCAAGGCATTAAGTGGAACTAGTTGATACATAACAGCACTAAAAAGACGAACGACACAAGGAACAGGAATGTGTGCCCTGTTCAATGTGTCTCATCTTTTTAGCTCTATTCTTCATTGAATCCTTCTCCATCTTTGGGCAACGCGCAGCCGTCAACAGAGCGTACCAACGATGCATCGGAAGCGTATGGTGACCTTGCCGCTGAAGGTGTCCTCCTCACTGCTGCTGTCCCCAATGTGCGGCTCGATCTCAAGGTCGTAGTGGAGCGGCACCACGTTGCCGGGCAACCTCTTGGCGTGGCGTCCGCCCGTGTACACGATGCGGTGGCTGAGGTACGACTGGCGGTCGATGAGGGCCCAAGGCAGCGCCGGAAGTTCGTCAGTGGGCGGTTCACTCGCTGGAGGTGACTTGCGACTAAGGAACACGTTCCTTTCGGTGGTGATGAAGACCACAAGGATGATCACCACGGTGGTGGTGACGGTCGCGATCACCACGCCGTTGCTGTGCCGGTCCAGTCTTCCCATGGTGATCTGGGATTGGAGGATTCAAAGGCTTGAAATAGGTATGGCATTGTAATAACCCAGCATTTCTCATTGATATTGCGTTGATTTCATCTCAGAATCACTGAAACAAATCCTATATATGATTTTCTTTGTGGTCACAAATATATCTGTATTACTCAAGCTTCTTGCTCGGTTGTCCCGTCTTTACCCTCCCTATTGAAAAGTCTCATTTATATGAGAAATTTCTGTGTCCAATAAACACATATGAGTCATACAAGATATATAAGTACATATACGAACCACATAAGGAGCTATATAAGAACTATTTACGATATATAGGAACCTACAAACACCATATAAGACACTTCTGAGTAGTTTTTTATAAGTTTCTTATATTGTTCTTATATATCTTATATAATTCTCATACAGTTCTTATATAGTTCTTATATGGGTCTTACAGATTATTATATATCTTGTATGATTCATATGTGTTTACTGGACAAAAGAAATTTCTCATACAAATGACTTTTTTCATTAGGGATGTTGAGTGCCCCGGTTCTAATTTTATATTGCATATTGTACACGACCTGTTCTGGAATATAGACTTTGCGCGTGCATTTACGCAATCGATTCCTACCTAAATTCAAAATTATTGTTCATTACTGCGGGCTAGGGTGGCGCAAGCTACCTGCTGATACGCACGAAAAGAATATATTAGTTATCCAACCATTCAGATAGTAGCCATCTATGTCTAGTGAACTAAAGCACCTAAACAGGAAGCCGAGACCAACTTCACAACAGCCGATAGGTGCGCTGACAGCCATGTGAGCAGCTGGGGCTTATGGGAGAGGCCATTCCTTACGTTACATACTCTATGGCTAGTGGTTGGTCGCAAGAACTGTCAATCAACGCGACCAAGTTCCCTGAAACAATTTTAGCCAATGGCGTGCCCATATTTTCTCTCTATTTTTACCAATTAACAAACGAACTTTCTTTATATGCGGCTCTGAGGTCTACCCACTAATCCTTCCTACCTGAGCTTGGCGTTTTGAAATAGACACGTTTCTTGAATACTGGAATTGTTTTTATCCACACACAAGCAAAAAAAAAGCGCAAATCTCCGCGCCGCCACCAGATACCACACTGTTGCCTGGTGGCACTGAAAAAATGAAAAGGAAGATCCATTGGTAGATCGTTAGGGAATGCGTCAGCATGACCTTCTGGAAACACCACACACGCCCCCTTTGGGAAACGCTAACGTCGACCTTTTCACTTTCCGGTTTTTACTTCCTCATTTGGCTTTCTCTTCTGCTTCCTCTATTTTTTGCTGCAACTTTTTGGCTTCGTTATGGGGTCAGTATTAGCGTTTCCCAAAGGGGGACGTGTGTAGCGTTTCCCAAAGGCCATGCTAACGCAATCCTTAAGGATCCACCAATGGATCTTCTTTAAATGTTTTTACCGCCTACTTGCACCAGCGCTAGTACTTGGTTCACATTCTAATTTGTAGCGCAAACCAAGGCATACGCGCTCCTTACGCCTGCAAGTTCAGACTGGCACCAGCATCCGCGCGCAAATGGGCTTCCGTCTCGTGATGTCGCCTCCCTCTCGCCTTTGTCCCTACTAGTATCCTACTCTATACGCGGCGCGCTTCCCTTTCTATTGTTTTGTCCACAGATGGACGCCGCCAGCTTTTTCCTGTCATGTGGGTACTGACGCAGACTCATTAATAAGTTTCCTGTCTTGATATTGCCGCGCCCATGACCAAGAAGGAACGCTTCTCCTTTCATCTAGAAGATTCGCGTTTCCGCCGTTCATCTAGAAGGTTCGCGTTTACTCCTACCCCGAGTGTGAAAGACAGGGAGGTCAGAATGGTCTTCACTTTACTCCGTTTCACCTTATGTCCGGAGGCAGCGGACGCAACGAGCTATCCTAGAGCCCAGTGGTTCTCAACCATTGATGTCTCGCGGACCCCTTGTGGAGCGGTGGAGCTGATGAAGGACCCCGCTCGTGGTTAGGGGAAGGGAAAAGTTTAGCTTAATGATGGGAATGATTTAATAAGTGTATAAAACTAAGGGCTGGTGTGAAGCAGACTTCTCTCATTGACATACACACGAAAAATTCACCCGAAAATTTGAAGGTTTCTTCTCAATTGGATAAAAGACAACTTTTAGCGCCGGGCTTAACTGACGAGGCAGGGCTTCGCGGACCCCTGGAATGCCTTCGCTGACCCCAAAGGATCCGCTTAAACCTATCTGAGAACCACTGCTATGGCCAATCCCGCTCCATAGACGTAGCCCGTGATACGCTTTCCGCAAGTCGCTGTGCCCCCCTCCAAGGTCACGCGACAATCACACGGCCTTAGATTGACTGCGATGGCTCGTAGCATCAGCTGCACTCGGACGTAGGGTAAAACGGAGCACAGTCAGTCTCGCATTAGCTAACTCGCGAACATTCTAGACCGAGCCTTCGAGATGATGAGTTTAGTTGGTAAGGAGCCGAGCACGGTGTTGACGATTCGTTCCCTAATTAATTCTCGCGATTGCCAGCTTTCACGCCGACGCACCGTCGCCGTTCGTGGTTTCTCGACGTTTGTTGCTCTTTTTTTATTGCTCACGCAAGTTTGCCGATTAAACCTTTAATTTCAGTTCATTATTCATCGTCTCGTCGCCTTCATCCGTGACATTTCTGATGGAGTTGCGGGCTACCGCAGCCCATGAAGCGTACCTCTCCAACGCCTCGCAGCGCTGGCGCTGTGCCCGGCTCTAGAAGACTGTCCGTACAAACTACTGAGACTCGAGACAGCCGCCTCACTAAGGATCAACTCCCGGAATGAAGGCGTCTGCTTCGACCGCCCCATTCGTCGTCGTTATGTCCGTCCCAGCCCGGACTCCAGCTCTCATCCACGGCGACGTCTACGGAGACATGGAGGACTGGATCAATGAGTTCGAGGGAGTTTTCCGACCAAATGGATGGACGTCTCAACAAAGCCTTCAGAACGTTTACTTTTCTCTGAAGGAATACCTCGACACTGGTACGAGGACCATGACGAGGCCTCAATCAGTTCGTGAGATCAGCTCAAGGGAGAGCTCCGACGCTCTTTCGCAAGCCTGCAGCGACGGAAACGCGCTGAAGACCTTCTAGGGTTCAAAGCCCCGATGAAAGTGTCTTTAGCTTTGTCGAGGACATTCTTCGACTCAGCCACCGGTCCAATCCTCAAGCCCCCCAAGCTAAGAAGCTGCAAATCCTGATGCGAAGGTGCCAGAGAACATTTTTGGAGGCCTTGTGCGATGTTCACCTACCACCGTCGAAAGTTTTTTGATGGAGGCGGAACATTGAAAAGGCCTGCAAGCACGAGCCGCCAACTATCTTCGACTTCTTTGCGTCGCGGTCCTCACGCCGTTCAGCTGCGCCATCAGCTCGAATATCCCGGGGATCCGCGAAATCATCCCGGACATCGTCTGTGAAGAACTGAAGAAGCTGGTACCTGCCGCCGAACGTTCATTTCGCTTTCGATCGCTGAGATTGTTCGAAGAAAGGTCCAGCAAGCGCTCCATCCAGACGTCTCGCCATTGCCGCACCGAAACCACCAGCTATGCCGTAGTTGCTCGTCATCCGCACCCTCCTGTTCGCCGGTAGTACTCAGCAGCTCCCCGACGAAAGGTCTCTTCGCCGCACTACGCTCCTCGTCAGTAGCAGCGTGGGCCTCAAAAGGCCGAGCTGTGGCGAACGGCTGACAGACGCCGGTGTGCTTCAACTGCGATGAGGCTGACCACGTCTACCAAAGGTAAACCAAACCGCCAGCTCGGCCTGTGAGGATTTGTGCCAAATGGCGGTCGAACCCGCTTTGGGGAACGACCAAGGGACACCGAGGAGTACCACAGCCGTCCTCCGTATTCAATGCAGTTTTCTTCCCCGGGATCCCGCTCACCATACCCACGATGTCCGTCATCGCCTCTTCGTCGGTCCCGCCGAGAAAGTTTGTTCCCCATGGCTCGCCGGGAAAACTAAGCTCGGCAAACCCTGGGGCCGTCTGCTCATCTTGCGACCGCGGCCGCGGCCACGGCTGCGGCCAAGATGGATTTTTATGTCCCGTGACCAGCTCCATGGGGACAAGGAAGTACCTAACGTCCCTGCCTAATGGTGGAGAAATCCGTATCGCTTCAAGCACGAAAGCCTAATTTCGCTCGCAGAAACTGACTGCAGGGACTTCCATCTGGAGTCCAATTAACCGCACCTTATACTGTAGGAGCGGCAGCTAAATTTACGGCCAGGGTCGGTAAATATGAGACAAAAAACGAAAAAAAAAAACGCCAGAGGTGAAAGCGGTGGTAATATATTTATGTACCTCCACCAGCACCGGCAGCTCGCGCCTTCTGCTGTGGTTGAGAGGCTAGAGCGCGGGCACTTGTCGCGACGTGAAAGTTCCGGGTGTTTTACTTTTAAACTGTCATCCTTTTTACGAATCATCCCCTTGCACTACTGTGCCGTACAAATTTTTTTCTCTTAGTCCCACCTATTTAATCAAAACACCAGGAAGAAAAAAAAGAGATCAAGGCAAGTTAACGCTCTGATACAATCGTTTCACAATTTTCATTAAGAGGAAACCAAGATAACAGCATCGGTATGACTTTCAACCAAACGGAACTGAAACAAGCATCCTTTCCCCAGCAACTACAATTTTATGTATTTTTAAATACACAAGGCTCTTGCTACGACTCTTTTCAATAACAGGAGGCGCCTATTTAGTACTAATAAAACTGCAATTGTGACAATTGAAAAGACAAACTACACAAAATAAGGAAATAGAAAAAATGACTAGCAGCTGTGGATGTATTGATTGAGCGAAATCCTACAGGCAAGGCAGCAAGTCAAACATCTGAGAAAGTCGTAAAACTGAAATAAAAGATATCATAGTTTTAATTGCATGGAACGTGATAAAAAGGTATATTTTTACTCTTTACATTTTGCTGTTGCAATCGTTTTTGCAATATTAAAACATTAATTGTTGAATTTTAGTTAGA